CCCCCACTCTCACACACTGTGTCAGGACCTGCTCTGTCCTGTTCAGATGTCTGACCATGGCTTCTGGTATCCAGTACTCTTTTTACAATTCTTCTTTAGTTTTTCTTGGTTTTTCTGTTTTTTTATTCTTAGTCTGGTTTTCTTTATGCTGGGTTTTCTGGGTTCATTCCTTTATTCCGTTCCTGGAATTCCCAGTCTCTTGGATTCCTTTAAATGATTGTTTTTTGTTGCCACACCCGTTCCTTTGCCATTAAAGGAACACTATAGTCACCTGAACAACTTCAGCTTAATGAGGTTGTTCAGGTGAGAACTATAGCTCCCTGCAGCCTTTCTCATGTAAACACTGTATTTTTTTAGAAAATATAGTGTTTACATTGAAAGCTAGGAACACCTCCAGTTGCAGTCACTCAGAGTGAACCAGAGGGACTTCTGAGTTGATGGAGGCATAATATGCCTCTATCCACTCAGATCTGCTGTGCACGAGCTTTCTGTGATTCAGTATCTCCTCCCACTGCATGCAGACACTGAACTTTCCTCATAGAGATTAAATTATTCAATTCATCTCTATGAGGAGATGCTGATTGGCCAGGGCTGTGTTTGAATCATGCTGGTTCTGCCCCTGATCTGCCTCCTTGTCAGTCTCAGCCAATCCTATGGGGAAGCACTGTGATTGGGTCAGGCTATCACATGTCAGCAGACTGCTTGTTTTTCCTGAGTCTAACAGCATGCAGATTTACAGCTTCTGGCTTCAATACAGTAAGATTTTTACTATATTTATGGAGGCATGAGGGGGCCAGGGGGGCTAGATGGTCGTGTTAACACTTTAGGGTCAGGAATAAATGTAGTTGCACTGGTGACTATAGTGTCCCTTTAATCCTTTTTGTTTCAGTCCAAGTTCTCTGCCACTTTCTTGCAGGTAAGTACACTGTGTGTTTTATTGTTGTTTATTTAGTCATGCATATCTAGGCAGTTAGGACCCACTGTAATTGGAGTACTTTGGCGCAGTTGTGGGCTGCATACATCTTGGCCATTTATGTATGTCTAAATCTCCAATGTTTATTACACACATTAGTACATTAGTTGTTTCTCCTCTTGTTTTGCCTTGTATTTCTTGTTTTGTTTTATTTTGTCTTGTATTCCCAGTTCATGTACAGTCCTGTCATGTCCTGCCCTGTCCATGTCCTGTTCATGTTTTCCTTATGTATTGTGTACATGTTCTGGGTTCTGCTTTCTGTCCTTCTCCGGTTCTGGGCTTTTCTAGTCTTGTCTTGCTATCTTCTTTGGTGCCTGATCTAGTCTTGCCTTTTTTTCTAGTACTGGATACATATCTGCTGCAGAGCCTCCCTATTCAGATCCTGGGAGGTCTGCATATTGACATCTGGCACCTGGGATCCGCAGAAGCTGCATCAGGGCCCTGCAATGTGGCTGCACAAACGCTGGTGCTTAACACTAGGGGGCGTGTGGTAACCCTGCACCAGGCCCTAGTAATCCATTTCCACACAGTGACTCCAACTATCTGTCAAGATTTCTGTAGATGCCCAACACGCAGAACTTAAGTAGATATAAAGCAAATACCTAAAACGTATAAACGGACCTTAGAATGGCCGGATTTAACGTAAAAAGGCAAGATAGGGAAAAGCCAAGACAAAGGTATAACAAAAATGAGTCAAAGGTCAAGAAATGGAGATATCAGAATAGTCAGGAGCCAAGCCAAAAGTCAAGGAATACAGAGATCGGAGAGTCAATAAGGGAAGCCAAGGTCAGATACAAAAGAAATCAATACAAGGAACACGCTCTCGGATAACCAAACGGAAACCACGACAGGGCACAGAGAAATGGACAAACTATGTTAAAATAGCTAAAGGCGTTTCCTGATTGGCTGTAGGGAAACATGTGATCAAGTTTATGTGTGTAACACACTCATATTTAATTAATTGATCTGGCCCTTTAAGGGTTAAACAGGAAACCCTTTATTTTTCACAGCAGCAGCAAGCGGCACCCTTAATGATTCAGAGCCGGATGCTGAGAGAGGAGAGGTAACCTCTGGTGAGTGTTTGGCAGTATTCCCCTTAGTTTGTAGGAATACCGCTGTAGCGATACGCGCCCGGCGGGACCCATGCTGCCCTCTGACAGGAGCTGTGCCGGCGGGTGGCATGACACTATCAAGCTCAGGCATACTGGGTCCCGGTCACTGGACCGCCACCCCTGATACACTGTCACCTTCCCTCACACTACTTTCATGACCCCCACTATGTAGTGTCACCATACTCTCACACAGTCATCCTCCCCTCACACTGTCACCCCCCACACACATTTTCAGCCCCTTTACACATCCACACTCGCATTTACCACTCCTAATCTTGTTAAACTCACCCCCTCCAAACTCATCTGCACTCGCTCTGCCACACTCACCCTGTCAAATTAACCCCCCTAATTCTGTCACACTCACCTTTTCTCACTCTGTCACACTCTCCCCCAACCCTGCCACACTTATCCTGTCAATTAATGCCTCTAATCCTGTGACATAAAATGCAACCCTATTATTATTTTTTTCACTTTTGGTGTTAGTGGGACTTTAAGTTTGAGTTTCGCCTAAGGCCTCATAAAGTCTAGAGCCGTCTCTGGATATCTGTCACCTTTGGGGATCTTTACTAATTAAAGAGAGTTCCCTTGATCCTGGCTGTCAGGAGGCAAGTCAGAATAGGTGTGTTTTTACGTTTGGCACCCTATTTAAACTGTGAACAGCTGAGCTACCATTGCTTAGTTGTTCTGTGCTTCTTCCCTGTGACCTACCTGTGTAATTACTGCTCCCCTAGATTACCTGACCTGTGGCTTGTCCTTTCAGTTCCGAACCTTTGCTGTTTGGGTATTTGACCTTTGGACTGCTTGACCTTGCCTTTGCCTTGCCCTTAATGGTTTTTTTACCTTGGACTTTATGTTATTATTATGCCTACTATTGCAAGTAGGCATAACCTCACAGTCTGTCAAAACCACAGCACTGTACCCTAGAATCTAATGCCTCCATCCTGGTTCCAAGTCAATAATTTATTATCCTCCGTGTTAAATTAGAGATTTTACCTTTTAGCTGAAAGGAGCAAGGTGCATTGTTATTGCAGGACTCACCTAATAGGTATTGCCGTAACAAGTGAGCTTACACTTGAATGCCCATTGGAGTGATATTAAAAAACCTCCAGTTATTTAAATATTATTTATGTTTTTTTTCTTTTTCTTTGGCTTTAATTGTATGTATTGACTATAGTCAACTACAGTCATTGCTGCCGCCCAGGAGCAGTAGGAGTTTGAGCAAGGGGTTAATAGTGTATGTTTGTATGCATGAAGTAGAATCAGACAAAAATTTGTAAGGAAAAGGATGCAACAGATTAGAAAAGGTAATCGTGGAAAAAGAAATAGGGAATAGAAACAAGGGCCTTAACATATATATTTTTAGCCCCCCCCTATTCGATTCGAGACTCTTGGTAGTATCACTTGTTAAAGTCAACTGACCTTACTTGTTGATCTTTGCATCTTCCCTAAATCCTGACCATCGTGCTTGTCATACAATAATGGAAACTGATTTCATGTCTGTAGACTTATAACAGTTTTGTGTTTAATGTGATGTTGTTTACTCGTTTTCATTTGTCTCTTTATAATTTACACACTGCAGTTTATATTTTGCCTCTGAATGCACCTAGCCCCACCAGCCTATTTTTGGATTGCAGAGGTTGTTGAGCAACGCATAGCACTGTTACTCTCTTCGCGCGCACGCATAATGGGTTAAGGAAACATTCGCTCGCTCCTTGTCTTTAGTAAATCTGCTCCCAGGGCTTTATGAAATACCTGCAATGGTCTCCTAGCAACCGTGACTCCTGGCCAGTTCTTACAGAGGGGATGGCGTGCTTTTGTACTGCGAACGCCTGCAGTGAGATTTCTGTGGTTTCTTGGATTCAGCCCATCGGTTGGAGAACATCTTTATAAGGTAATCAGAGCATACAGCACAGAGTTTACATGTGTCAACTGAAGAGCATCACTGTAACCCAGTCTTAACAGAGCCTGAAACCAATGCTTTAACCCCAATCGATAAATGCGTATGCCTCTATAAATGGGTCTGTAAGGAACTGCATTAATAGGAGAATCTTATCATGTAAAACACTATGTATTCAGTATTTTCATTCTCACTACTGGACACTATCAATAGAGCATTACCATAACCTGCCCCCAACGTTGTAAACCTATCATTCATTCACATCCGGATTGGATGGAGTTCACACTCATAATGTGGAAGTTTAAATTTTGCACTATCAGTGCAGCTCAGGAAGGGATCATCCCTGAGTGGCATGGTGCACCTAGGATTTTGTCAAACCACTCCAAAGAATTTAACAAAAAAAGTAGGATGGTCCCCAGACACCTCAGGGCCCCCCGAGTCTGGCAGCGGCGACACTTTCCGGACAGGCGACAAGGGAGCACTGATGCTCCTGTTCAGCTCCCTTGCGCGCACCGCAGTGATCCCAGAGCCGGAATATGACGTCACACCGGCCCCGGCATCACTATGCGCAGGGCCGGCCTTAGGCCAATAGGCGCCCTGTGCAAAAAGTCTTTACAGCGTCCACCCCCTCGCCCCTTGACCAAGTTGCCTATATGCAGTCACACACACAGGCAGACAGTCACACTAACAGACAGTCAGACACGCTCAGTTACAGGCAGACAGTCACACACACACACAGTTACAGGCAGACAGTCACACATGCTCAGTTACAGGCAGACAGTCACAGAGCCAAACACACAGTTAAAGGCAGACAGTCGCACACAGTTACAGGCACACAATCACAAACAGTTACAGGCATACAGTCACACACACAGTCACAAGCAGACAGTCACACATACTCCATTACAAGCAGTCATACACACTCGGTTACAGGCATGCAGACACACACATGCTGATAGGCACACACACAGAGGCAGTCACACAGACATACAGCCACACACACACACAGGCAGGCAGTCACACAGACATACAGCCACACAAACACACACAGGCAGGCAGACACACACACACAGGCAAACAGTCACACAAATAAAGTCACACACACAGGCACGCAGTCACACTGACAGACAGACAGACAGACACACACACAGGCAAGCAGACACACACAGGCAGGCAGTCACACAGACAGACAGTCACACACACACAGGCATGCAGTCACACACACTATCACACAGACAGTCACACACACACACAGGCAGGCACAAACACAGGCAGGCAGTCAGACAGACAGTCATACACACTGGCAGGCAGTCACACAGACAGTCACACACACACACACAGGCAGGCAGTCACACAGACACACACAGGCAGGCAGTCACAAACACAGGCAGTCAGACAGACAGTCACACACACACACACACACACACACAGGCAGGCAGCCACACAGGCAGGCAGGCAGACACACAGAAAACAGTCACACACACAGGCAGGCAGACACACAGACAGACAGTCATACAGGCAGGCAGGCAGTCAGGCAGACACACACACACAGGCAAGCAGTACCACACGCAGGCAGTCAGACAGACAGCCTCACACACACACACACACACAGGCAACCAGCCACAAATAGCCAGGCAGTCACACACACAGACAGGCACACAGTCACAAATAGCCAGGCAGTCACACACACACACAGGCAACCAGTCACAAATAGCCAGGCAGTCACACACACACACACACACACACACACAGGCAAACAGTCACAAATAGCCAGGCAGTCACACACACAGACTTACCTCTTTCCATTATGGCTGGAAGGGGGAGCGGATGCAGTTCCTGTGCAGCAGTTACCAGGGGCTTCAGGTAGGTACCTCCGCCTCACAATAAGCCCCGCCCCCACCGCTCATTAAGCCCCATCCCCACTGCCGCAATATTTTTTTTTATAGACCTGTTTTAGCTCCCCTGACACAGGCAATGTGTGAGCTGTGTCGATCTGCTCCATGGCACCCTGTGAGGCCGCACAGCTCGCACACCCCTAAGGCCAGCCCTGACTACGCAATGTTCAAGGGAGCTGAACAGGAGGAGCAGTGCTCCCTTGCCGACTGCAGTGACCAGCCGGCCGCCCAGCAGCCCCACTGAACCTCAGAGAAAGCGAGAATCCACCCCAGCACTCTCAAATGTAGGGAGGCTGGGGGGATTGAATTACATCTTTTTTTTTTTTTAAATGTGAGCGTGTTTATGTGTGTGTGTGTCTGTTAGGGAGTGTGACTATGTGTGTCTGTTAGTGTGTGTGTCTGTTAGTGAATATGTGTGTCTGTTAGTGAGTGTGTATGTGTGTCTGTCAGTGACATAGGCGTGCGCAACCTGTTGCATTAGGGTGTGCACCCTAAAGCACAAACACATGCCGCATGTTTATATATATATATATATATATATGCATACACACACATACACTGCTGTTTGTGTGGGCTGTTAGTGCGCTGTGTAAGGGTGCTGTTAGTGTGATATGTGTGTGAGGGTGCTGGTAGTGTGCTATGTGGGTGAGGGTGTTGTTCGTGTGCTGTGTGAGGGTGCGGTTTGTGTGTGAGGGTGCTGGTAGTGTGCTGTGTGTGAGGGTGTTTGTGTATGTGTGTTAGGGTCCAGTTAGTGTGCTGTGTTAGGGTGCTATTTGTGTGATGGGTGCTGTGTGTGTGAGGGTGCTGTTTGTGTCGTGTATTTTTGAGTGTGTTGTTTGTGTGAGAGTGCTGTGTGTGTTTATGAGGGTGCTGTTATTGTGCTGTGTGTGAGGGTGTTGTGTGTTTGTAAGAGTGCTGTGTGTGTGTGTTTGTGAGGGTTCTTTGTGTGTGTGAGGGTGCTGTGTGTGTACTGTGTGTGTGAGGGTGCTGTATGTGTGCTATGTGTGTGGGTGCTGTTTGTGTGCTGTGTGTGTGAGGGTGCTGTATGTGTGTGTGTGCTGTATGTTTGGAGGGATTGTAAAGGTGGGGGCAGATTAATAAATATCCCCCCTCCCTTCTTACCTTATGTAGGGAGGGGAGATCCCTGCTGCCATGTGCCATCCCTGGTGGTCCAATGGAGAGTGAACTCTAGCCTGCGGGGCTAGAGTTCACTCTCGCGAGATCTGAGCGTTGACACACATACACACACACACACATATATATATATATATATACACGTACACACACATACACTCACAGACACACACACATACACTGACACACACACATACATTCACAGACACTGACACACACACTTACAAACACGCACACATACATTCACAGACACATACATTGACACACACACTTACAGACACACACACATACATTCACAGACACATACATTGACACACACACTTACAGACACACACACATACATTCACAGACACACACACACACTCACTGACACACACACACTTACAGACACACACACACACATACATTCACAGACACACACACACTTACAGACACACACACAAATTATTATTTTTTTAATAAAAAAATGTCCTCCCAGCCTCCCTACCTGGAGAGCTGGCGTGGACATGTTCCTGGGGTCCAGTGGGTCGGGTGCCTGTCTCCATCTCAGCCGCGGCGAGGGAGCTGTGTGCTCTATGCTTCCTCTCACCGCGCGGGCTGTCTACTGTAGCTGGGAGCCGGAATATGACATCATATTCCGGCTCCCGCCATTAGCAGACAGCCCGCGCGGCGAGAGGAAGCAGAGAGCACACAGCTCCCTCGCCGGGGCTGAGATGGAGACAGGCACCCGTCGAGGGGGGGGTCCATTACCGCTTGCACCCCCGTGCACACGCCTATGGTCAGTGTGTATGTTAGCTAGTGTATGTGTATCTGTCAGTGAATGTGTGTGTCTGACACTGAGTGTATATGTGTCTGTCAGTGAGTGTCTATGTGTGTATAGAAGGCGGGGCGGGGAGGGGCGGGGTGGGAGCGGAGTGCCTGAGTTTTGTCATGCCTAGGGCAGCACAAAACCAAGATACACCACTGTCTAAAGGCACATAATTCTCAGAAGCCAGAGCCTTCCCCCAAAATTTGAATCATACAGAAGAGAATCGAGAACAATCTCTCTCGCTTACAACTTCAACAAATAAAAATACAAATTAAAAAATGCAATTACCATGTGGCAAAAATAAAAGATATATGAAAATATATCTGAAAAGGAATAAATGCGTATTTGATGCAATTATAGGCACCCTTTGGAGAAATGCACCTGTAGGCAGTATCCTACTCGGTCTACTAGCAAACCTTGTCCAGGTTATGGATGCAGTGCCAACTTTTGTCATAAGCATGCTTAGTGGGTCTTGGGTAATATGTAAGACAATGCAGGTTTTCAAATCACCGAACAGCTTATCTTTCAGCTCTTACTGCTGGGTGTATTACAAGGATTTCCCCACATACAGTTATATATCCAACCCTTTATTGTAGCAAATAGGTACTAATTTATCATCAGCAAATTGGCAAAGTGGACATTCCCTAAGCATGACTATATTTATCCACCATCGCTTAAAGAAGACCATTTCGATTTCTACATCTATAAATTAATATTGCCCATCATTGCAATACTTATTATACCCATTCATTAGAAATTGGTAAGAGTGTAGCTCAAGGACTGGTCCCATAAATATCTCTGCTCAGTCATCTGTGCCATGCTGTATGGACAATAATACTGATAATTACTGGTCAATTTTCAGTATTTGCCTATGACCCATCTGAACAAACCTTGTTTAGATGCGTCTAAAAATAAGGGTTTGGTCGGAGAAGTCAAGAAATTGTGTGGTCTATTATATTTGAAATGCAACTGTTGAGAACTCTACAAATAATCTCAAGTCTTCTGTATGTTCCAGTGCCTGTGACCAGCACTAATAATGCTCCAAAAAAAGGAAATAAATCTGTCTTCATATATTTATTAGAAAAAAATATTATCACATCAGAATGGAATTTTTAAAAAAGCAGTGAAATCATGTTTTATTCCCAGAAACAAGGATCACCTCATCGTTCCAAGCATGTGACTCATACTGAACACTCAGTTTAATATGAAGTCATGGTATAATTAAGGAACGTATACTTAGAATGTTCATGAAACTGCTTCCCATATCAACCCTATGAGCAGGAATGACAACGATATTTGATGTTAGATTAGGGTGGTATAATATAGAGAGGTATGGAGCCAGTTACTATGTATGTAATGTACATTGCTCAAAAAAATAAAGGGAACACTTAAACAACACAATGTAACTCCAAGTCAATAACACCTCTGTGAAATCAAACTGTCCACTTAGGAAGCAACACTGAGTAACAATCAATTTCACATGCTGTTGTGCAAATGGGATAGACAACAGGTGGAAATTATAGGCAATTAGCAAGGCCCCCCCCAATAAAGGAGTGGTTCTGCAGGTGGTGACCACAGACCACTTCTCAGTTCCTATGCTTCATGGCTGATGTTTTGGTCACTTTTGAATGCTGGCAGTGCTTTCACTCTAGTGGTAGCATGAGACGGAGTCTACAACCCACACAAGTGGCTCAGGTAGTGCAGCTCATCCAGGATGGCACATCAATGCGAGCTGTGGCAAGAAAGTTTGCTGTGTCTGTCAGCGTAGTGTCCAGACCATGGAGGCGCTACCAGGAGAAAGGCCAGTACATCAGGAGACGTGGAGGAGGCCGTAGGAGGGCAACAACCCAGCAGCAGGACCGCTACCTCCGCCTTTGTGCAAGGAGGAACAGGAGGAGCACTGCCAGAGCCCTGCAAAATGACCTCCAGCAGGCCACAAATATGCATGTGTCTGCTCAAACGGTCAGAAACAGACTCCATGAGGGCCCGACGTCCACAGGTGGGGGTTGTGCTTACAGCCCAACACCGTGCAGGATGTTTGGCATTTGCCAGAGAACACCAAGATTGGCAAATTTGCCGCTGGCGCCCTGTGCTCTTCACAGATGAATGCAGGTTCACACTGAGCACATGTGACAGACGTGACAGAGTCTGGAGACGCTGTGGAGAACGTTCTGCTGCCTGCAACATCCTCCAGCATGACCAGTTTGGCAGTGGGTCAGTAATGGTGTGGGGTGGCATTTCTTTGGGGGGCTGCACAGCCCTCCATGTGCTTGCCAGAGGTAGCCTGACTGCCATTAGGTACCGAGATGAGATCCTCCGACCCCTTGTGAGACCATATGCTGGTGCGGTTGGCCCTGGGTTCCTCCAAATGCAAGACAATGCTAGACCTCATGTGGCTGGAGTGTGTCAGCAGTTCCTGCAAGAAGAAGGCACTGATGCTATGGACTGGCCCGCCCGTTCCCCAGACCTGAATCCAATTGAGTACATCTGGGTGCTCCATCCACCAACGTCACGTTGCACCACAGACTGTCCAAGAGTTGGCAGATGCTTTAGTCCAGGTCTGGGAGGAGATCCCTCAGGAGACCATCCGCCACCTCATCAGGAGCATACACAGGCGTTGGAGGGAGGTCATGCAGGCACGTGGAGGCCAAACACACTACTGAGCCTCATTTTGACTTGTTTTAAGGACATTACATCAAAGTTGGATCAGCCTGGAGTGTGTTTTTCCACTTTAATTTTGAGTTTGATTTAGGACCGTGATAATCGTGGTAATCGTCGGTACAAATCAAAATTCTGTTTTGTACATTTATCCAAAAATAAAACAAGTTTTTCAATATGCAAAATTCTAAATTGTTAAAGAATAAGTACATAGGGAATGTGCAAAAGTGGTGAGATAGAATAGAATAATAAATTTAAAAAAAAAAGAAAAAATTAAACAAAGCTAGTTACTGTCCCTAGAAATCCAGGACATTTTGGCATACTTACATAGCTGAGAAGAGACTTGTGTCCATCAAGTTCAGCCTTTCTCACATATGTTTTTGCTGTTGATCCAAAAGAAGGCAAAACCCCCCAGTTTGAAGCACTTCCAATTTTGCAACAAACTAGGAAAGAATTCCTTCTTGGCCTCAGATTGGCAGTCAGATTAATCCTTGGATCAAGAAGCTATTACCCTACATTGAAAAATTATATCCTTTAATTTTCAGTTTTTGCAAGTATGCATCTAGTTTCTGTTGGAACATCTGTACGGACTCTGATAAAACCACTTCTTCAGGCAAAGAATTCCACATACTTATAGTTCTTACAGTGAAAAAAACATTTTCTTTGCCTTAGACGAAATCTTCTTTCTTCCAGTCTAAATGCATGATCTTGTGTCCTATGTAAAGTCCGGTTTGTGAATAGATTTCCACACATTGGTTTGTATTGACCCCGGATACATTTGTATAATATGATCAAATATCCTCTGAGGCGACGTTTTTCTAAACTAAAGAGGTTTAAATTTGTTAACCTTTCTTCATAGCTGAAATGTTCCATTCCTTTGATTAATTTTGTATCCCGCTTATGCACTTCTTCTAGTGCCATAATAGCCTTCTTTAGAACAGGTGCCAAAAATTGCACAGCATATTCAAGATGTGGTCTTACCAGTGATTTATAAAAAGACAAAATTATATTCTCATTGTTGCGTAGTTTGTTGTTTATAACAATTCCCAAGTCCTTTTTGTGTGTTTTTCTCCCTAATTCACTTCCATTAAGGGTATACGTTGCTTGTGCATTCTTTACGCCGAAGTGCATAACTTTGCATTTTTCAACTTTAAATTTCATCTGCCATTTGAGTACCCAGTCCCCCAGTCTATATAAATCCCTCTGCAGCAAATTAATATCTTGCTCACATTGTCCTATTTTACAGAGTAGATGGGGAGGGTATTTAACATGAAGGATACCCTCCCCATCTATATGTCCCTAGGCTCATTTATGCCAACTTCACTCGGCATACCTAATCTCGTTCTTACTTCATTAATGTAATCCACTGGCCCCGGGCATTTGGGTGATTTTGAAAATGTGAATTTTAAGCTGCAGTGAATCTTTGTTTAACTCAAGATTAGCCTTAAAGTTATAGCATAATAAAAATATAAAAATGACAGGATTCCTAAAAACAGAATGAACGGGAAAAGAGGAGCAGAACCTATTCTTCATGTAACATATATAGCCAAATTAAAGGTATACTATGATCATAATGTGCAGAGCCAAATGGACCTACAGTGTGCAGAGAATTATGTAGAGAACCAAATCCAAGTATAATTTGTATAACAAAAATGCAATTTGCAAAAAATGATAAAGCGATGTAATATGCAAATGTGCAGAGAATGATGCATATTTTATATACAAAGTATAACATATCCGTATGTGTTGAAGAGAATATATATATATAGTTACAATGTGCAGAGTATGATGTATAGTGCAGTCTTAAATAACCGTGTAATGCGCAGAGGATGATATATCTGTAATGCTCATAATATAACATATCTAATGTTCAGAGGATGATATATCTGTAATGCTCATAATATAACACATCTAATGTTCAGAGGATGATATATCTGTAATGCTCATAATATAACATAACACATCTAATGTTCAGAGGATGATATTTAATTTTAATGTATATGATGTATAGTGAGTCCCAAATAATTCTGTAATGTGCAGGGGATGATATATGGCTGTAATGTACAACTTCAGGTATATTTGTAATGTACAGAGTTTTTTTACAAATTGAGATTGGCACAACTGCAGTACAGGCGCTCCTGTAGAATACTATGAGAGAGTCTGACAGAGAAGACAAAGCCTTGTTTGGTATATTTGGACAGCAATGGAGAAAGTATAGATTCCCCTCTGTGATGTGGAGTTACACTAGTAGACTTTTTTTTTCTTTTCAAATTTATGCAAATATAAGCAATAAAGAACAGAGACAGAAGAGCTGCTTACAAAATAAAAAGTAGCAAGTACAGAGATTTACGATTGTATTTGGAGTGCCCTTATATAAACAAGAACTAGAACGTATCAGGTTTATGCACTAAACTGTGAATTGTAGTGAAATGTATATCAGTTTGCAAACTTTATGCTAAAATAGTCATGGTATGATTATAGCGGAGATGTGGAATATTTTCAAATCAAATGTTTCCTACTTTTTGCAATTTGGCTTTTAATTCAGTACAACTGGGTGTTTAGGGAATAAGCCTCTATATGTTGCTTAGAAGGAACATTCTCTTCCCCTCCACCCATAACTTCACCGAGATGAAGGAATGTCTGGGTGCCATCTTTACATTAGGGGTTAAACCATTTTCCACCAGTTTAACTCTAAAGTTGATTCCCTGGTGCCAGACACCTCTGTCTCCTAAATTCCTTCCTCCCAGGCCCCACAGTATGAAGAAAGTTTGTGTAACTTGAAGTCTATCTTAAAGTGATCCTTTAAAAGCTCAACACCTGTCAGCTGCCCAATTGCCCTGTTACACACTGTCTGTCGCTAGTGAACGTTTCACTGTGTTTTTTCAGACTGCATATTGTGCATAAAGATGAAGATTACATCATAACTGGATATGACCTGGGGAATTGGAGGATGGGGGATGCTTATAATCAATGGGACATTTGATAGGCTGCATACATCTTAACTTGCAACACAATACATCACTATTTCATATTTTCTGAGAATTTTAAACCCCCAGAAGGCCTGTCTTAGTGTGTATGACTTCATGAAGCTATTCTTTGTTCCCTACGGGTTTAGGGATTGAAATTTAATCTCTAAAACTAACATTTTAAAGGAACACAATAGTGTTAATATATATTCTTAGTGTTCTACTAATTATTTAGAAGATTCCCTCCTGTGTGATTAAAAAAAAGTTGACTCGCCTCTTAGCCGTAGCCACCAGCCTCCATGAGGCTGCCTTGCCTCCCTGGCTGAGATAATCAAAACTTGATGATCTCAGCCACTCCAGTGCTTAATAATCACATAAGAGGCCATCTTTCACGTACAGCAAATCACCGCTCTGCACCAGTCAGCATCTCTTAATAGAGAATGTTACGTCACCGCCGCCTTCTTCTGCCCAGAGTATGCAACAGAATCTGATTCCCGCGCATGCTCCATGCAATCAGTTAATGCAGATCGGTGATCTCGCAAGATTTCAAGGAAGGATTGAATGGAAAGGAGAGTATTGAGGGATAGGTGAATATTTGCATAGGATTGTTTTGCACACCAACTTTTTGGGTTGAATTAATTTACTGTGACTAAAGCATCATGGGAGACTTTCATTTACTTATGTACGCCAAACCGACCTCTCGTCAATTACATTTTTATTTATATAGCAAACTAACATGATTGACATGAAGTCAGAATGCATGTAAAAGTAAAACAACAAACCATATTCTATAAATGTGAGGGAGATGCTGCTGACAGAGGTAAGGTTAGCAGAATATACCCTGCCCATCTCAGGGTTTAAAGATTAAGGCACCACAAGCCGATTAAAATTGGTGTGTGTGTGTGTGTGTGTATATATATATATATATATACACACACACACACACACCAATTTTAATCGGCTTGTGGTGCCTTAATCTTTAAACCCTGAGATGGGCAGGGTATATTCTGCTAACCTTACCTCTGTCAGCAGCATCTCCCTCACATTTATAGAATATGGTTTGTTGTTTTACTTTTACATGCATTCTGACTTCATGTCAATCATGTTAGTTTGCTACTCATTCTCTGGGGCAGTCACATCATCTTCAAAGATTAATTTGGCTGAAAACGGACTTCTTCAACCAGGCGTCAATTGTGCAATGACAGTCTTGAGTTTTTCTGCTCTTTGTTTTGCATTGCCATCTGGTGATGTAGCATTTGAAGTTCCCGTTTCTTCTGATCTTAGTTTGTTAGTGTATGCTAGTTATGGTTTACCCTCATCATTTAAATAATCAATTACCATCCATACCTCGATATTCCTCATTCTTCATTTTGGCTAGTCCTAGCTAGAGTATTCCTTTTGGATGATGGTGTCCAAAAGGAACATGATCTTACGAAAACTTCCATGTGGTTTACCTTCAAATTTTAGGGTTGATTGAACACAAGGGTTCAGCCTAACGGGTAACCGTGAGAAATGTAACTGGTTAGAAGCTGAAAAAACACCACATGGAAGTTTTGGTAAGGTCATGTTACTTATTGCATCCAGTGCTACATTCTTGGCAACACACTAAATAATAATTTGCAGGGGGAACTTTGCAAGTGATCTTTGCCGGCAAACTTAAAGCAAAGACACACATTTGTGCACAGTAAAGCACATCATTCACTGAACCAATGTTAGCAGAGTATAGAAACAAGTCTACGAAACTCACACATTAATACAAAAACAAAAACATTTAATGATTTATCAAAAATAGAGAGCTGCTAAACACAGCCCCTCGGATCAAAGAAATTTAAAAGGACTTGCACAGCTTGGTAAAGAATCACAGTATTAGTACAAGATATGCAACTAGCCCATACACAGTTAGAAAGTGACACAATAATGTTGCATTCATCGACAAACACGTAACAGAAAAACCCTTCTTCTCCTGTACACATAACTTTCAAAAAAGCATTCCCTCGCACACACCCCTAGGGGTTATTCACTACATTTGAAACTGCAGAGAACTGTAGATGCAATTGCAATTTCCTTGGCGACCTATGTACTGTACAAAAAAAAAAAAAATAGGCACTAATTTATATATAACAATATTTAGTATTGCTTCTCAAAAGCCTATATCTTATAGAACTGTTTATACAAAATACACTTTGCACAGCACTGTCTTTATAAAAATATATTGTTAAACCCCCGTGTAAAACCACTCAACAAAGTCTGCTTAGAAACGGATACCCCACAGTACTATAAAAAGTGTACAAGTACACCCACATCTCTCACCACATATTACATAAAATTGGCAGATGTCTTTTGTAGGACCTCATTTCACACATTTTGAAGTGCATAAGTCTATAAGGCACAGTATAAAGTAATGCCACATAGAAACCCATATTCCATATGTCTGTGCACACATATGGCACACATATGTGTATATAAATCTACATGGCACACCTCTGTGGGAGTATACACGCACAAATTCTACAAACACGCGTGTGTATAAATCCTTGTCGTACAGATGGGCTTCTCGGTGAAAATTCATACCTCACAATGCAAAGAAATGTTAACACAATCTACAGCTCTGTGTCTGCTTGGCATATAAACCTATAACTCTTGGCCATGTTTATATATACAGTTTTAACAGGGTGGTGAGTGTATTTAAGAGCACTTTGGTATTTGCACATAAAACATTTGTCTTGTCCCACGTCCTGGTCCTGTACATCACACATAAACTGCGGGTGACATCATGAAGCCTTGATCTTCTTTATGGGATGCAGATTCTGGGAGGGACAGCTCGTTGTATATAGGATTAAGCTGCTCTAGATAGTCATCATCTGCCGCTGAAGGAAACTCTATATTCATGGGCAGTGGGTCCTTGTTGGGGGTCTGGAAAGTAGAACAATAAAAAGGAGGTTAGATAAATGGATATATAAATGTATCTACACACAGAACTTAAAACAACCATGTATCATCGAACAGCCCTGCGTCATTCTCCTGGTTGTGTTCATTTCTCCATAACGGTTTAAAGTATGGCCCACCCCTATAGCTCTTGATTTCTTTTCATCTCTTGCATCCTAATCATTAATCTTCCACCTTCAACCTTTTCTTCTACGTTGTCCTGCATTGATTGCTCTACCATGGAAACAACATGTCTTATGATTGCCTGGTTGTCTGAAATTTACCTATACATTGCAATATCTTAAATCCCTTAGTGCCAGAGATATATTCTAATTAGGCAGCATTCCACCCCAATAGTCCCTATTCTGACAGGACAGCCCTGATGGTGGCCTGTTTGGGCTCACCATATGGACTCACACTATATCTATAACTATTTGAATAAAGATACAAACAGGAAGGGATTTAAAGATATATTACAGGTCCTTACAATGAAGGTTCAAGAATGATAGATGGTAAATAGACTGGAGTATTCTCGTAGGCTAGATGACCAGTAGATGGTATGAGGAGGAGAATAGAGGGCAAGCTATAGATAGTGAATAAAGAGGTCAGGGAACCAGCCAAACATGTTCATGGAAAACATAGCCGAGTGAGAGGGAGAGAGTCATCCAAGACAGGTCAAAACCATAAAATCAGTAAACCAGTAATATAATGCACTATTGAGTATAACCATCCACATGGGCTGTGAGTCCTCCTTAGATTTAGAGGTTTAGATGTTTGCTATAAATGTAATTTTCCCTTACTGCTCTTTTGCATGTTTATGCATTTGCACTGAATTAAAGCCGATTCATCCAGTAACTTAAATATAATAAAGATGATAGGGCAATTTTTTTAAAGAACTTTAAATATTTTGTAATACTCCTCATTATTCCACTTTAAAGGGCATGTCATACCAGAGACAACTTGTGTTCATTAGATTGAACAAAATATTTTAAATATATGCACACCGTGCTAGTAGATGTATAGAGTAGGAGAAAAACCTATTTAAAAATATTTTTTTTGAACCCAGATGTCAGTCAATGCCGCGCTGTGCCGAGACATTGTCTGACAAGGGAAAGCAGAAAAGACCTCCCCCACCTGGTCTCTTTGCTCTCCTCTCACAGCAACCACAGTGCATGCACATTTAGTAGTGGACTGAGGTTAAGAAGTCAGTACTTATTAGTATAATGACATATTGACTAAAGAAAAACAATCATCCATTCAGATATTCACTGAAGGGACTATTTCACAATTAAACTAAGTCAGGCAACAGGTATCAAAGAAATCATATTTTGGATCTGCAAACCAAGAATTGGAATCATATCAAAGAACATCAGGATTCAGCAGCGTTTGAAGAAAATTAAGGGCTTGGAACAGGCGCCACAATAATACGTAAACAAAATGCAGCAGGACATCACTCAAGAATTTTTTGATTTTCAAATGCCTGTCCTGGTATGATAAAGAAGAGTTTGTTGACCATTCTTAAACAAAACCAGCAAAACTATATATATATTATATTATATATAGATCGTAAAACTGCATAATTACATTTTTTGATATCCTAACTAAGTCAAAACTTTTCATGTAACACAATATCAGAATGGTGACCAACGAGACATATATAAGAATGATGGTGTTTATCAATCTATACTGCCTATTACCATTTGTAATTCATCCGTGGTTTCAATAAAATGAATCGGGGGTTTGAGTTCAAGTAGCTCTTCTTCTTTAGCCTGTGGAGATCACACAAATTAATTAAACATGGTCTCTCATCGCCTAGTCAAAGTGTACACAGAGCTAAAAGTAGTAAAAACTTAGCATTTTTATTGTGATGAATCCCAAAAATTCTCTTCATGGCAATCTGTTTACAAATAGGCTACCAACCTTTACATTTCATGTAATAAAGCTATAGAAATGTCTACGGTGATGACAGTACAAAAAAACCTTTGTGGATGTGGTAGTCATTTTGAAATTGTACTTCAGTTTTTCAAAAACGCACACATTGATTGCTATTAAATTGAAAAAAATAGCTTCCAAGTGTACGTGATGACAGCAGCCATTCAGAGTTTAAGATTAAAATAGAGGACTTCCACTGTGGGGACAAGGAATGGTTGTTGGGCCAGTCTGATTAGGTTAGTACCATTCTGTGTCTTAAAAGGGACACTATACATAATGTAACAGCTTTATCTTATTGATGTGGTTATATAGTGTCTGAAGTCCATGGTACTGTCCTTCCATTCAGTGTTAAACTATTTGTAATTTGTAATGTCATCAGTAGCCTATCCCCTACGTGCTGCTTGGTCTAAGTAGGAAACATTAGCTTAAGCAGCAATGGGCAGCTGCGATTGGCTGACTGCTTTCAGCCTATCACAGTGCCCATTTCATGTATGAATGGGTATTGTTAAACAAAGTGTAACCACTTTATATATTGGGGCTGATGTGTACTGTGGTCGTTGCTGCCACCCAGAAGTGATGGGAGTGAGCGCAGGACTTATCTTTTTGAAAGTGTAACCACTGCCCAATGTACTCTTATTCAGTGTTAAGCCGCTTGCAAGAAAATGTATTACTGAAAGGAGGGCCAGTGCCAGGGGACTGCACTGTAACCAATGCAATGAGATGAAATGTTTATAGTGCATGTAGTGTTGCTTTAAGGAATTCCAGATTAGATCCCATTCCTCCAGTTTTAATAAAACAAACTCATGAACAAATAATAAATAAAAATATATATATTTAAAAAAAAAAAAAAAGCCAAAGGGCCAATCTTTTTATTTCTGATGCCATCGCCATTTTTAGTTGAGTGTGCTTTGTTAAAAGTATAAAACTTCAACCAGCAGTAATTACAAAAATAGAAGAGTTAGAGGAAGCGTTTGTGATAATTTGGATGAAACCTTAAATATCTCTCCCATTACCTCTTCTGTGGGTCGCTTTATAGTTGGAGGAGGTGGTTTGTACGCAGGAGGACCTTCAAATCTGTAAAAATGACAGATTATGATTATGGAGAGACTGAAGTGGATTTAGA